AAGGGCATACAGCATTCGAATTGAGCAAATTTCTCTTTGTATTGCTTAGAAGCGGACCCCCAAAAAATGGGTTATGAAGTGTAGCACTCATTATCCACTCTAATCTACAATCAGCGAGCTTTGCAACTCATTAGTAGGGGACCAAGAGACTGCTCTTGGTCCCCTTAACCTCAAACCCCTGAATATTGCAGTATGTCAATCGGAGCCCAAAACTTTAAGACCTAATCAAGGGTCAAAAGTAAAAATGAACCAAATTAAAATATTTTAAAGTTATACAGGTGCATCAAATGTTGAACAAAAATCACACTTTCACTTAACTCTAAGCCTAATTTTCGAGGAGTTTGAGCAGGAAATTGAGCAAAAATGAAAAGGGAATTCGTAAATATCTAATTTCTTTTATTATCTACTCAAAATCAACTGTAATTCACAGTTTCTGAGAATAAATTACTTCTAAACAAAGCATAATCTTCAAAACTTGGAAAAGGAAATGATGCATATATCGTTATCCGACTTCTTTTCCCTTGCTTTCTATATTGATTAGTTATTATGAGCATCAGAGTGTTTATCTCCAACAAAACTCAACTAAAGAATTGGGAAATTGAAAACATAAAAAATTTGAACTCTCCCACTATATTAAATTACTTCAGTATCTACACAACCTATAGAAATACACAACAAACAACTTTTTTCTCAAAATAAAATAAAACCCTTTAATTTCTTGCTTGCATTCATCCTTTTCCTACTCAGAAACTCCAGCCCCATATCCAAAATGACACTTTTTTTTTAATGTAAACTTATTTTATACTCTCAAAAGAGTTGGTCTGATTATTCCCTTCTTTCTATTTTCCTTCATTAACCTTAGTACTTGCACAGCTACGAAAATAGAAACGAACGTGTAAATGACAGCCGAACCTGAATGAATTGAGCTCAACGGTCATTTTTCTTGAAAAGCCCAATCCTTCCTTTTCAACATACCAAAGAAATTAAAGAAAAAAATACAAAGATGAAGAAATCAATCTAGAGAAGTTGATGGGATTGCTGGTTGCTGGAGCTCGAGGATTCCCTCGTTTTCCAGAGTATAAAGAGGAGAATTTTGGAGGCTCCGGCGGGTACGAGTGATGAATACGGGCTACAAGATGACAAAAATGGGATCATCTGATGGAAACTCGACGAACAATTTGGAGCAATCAATTGAGCAAACCTTGAACAGGAGAAAAGACAGTCCAAGAAAAGCAACTTGAGGGTAAGTTCGGCACGCAATCCTCTTGTATTTTTGGCTTGTCAGGCCAGGCCCAATTGATTACTGGATATTAACTGTTATTTTCCAAACCCTAAGGAGTGGAGGTGTTGCTTTGGTCAGAAGAAACACTTGGGATCTAAAGATAATTATTTTTTGAATTTGACATTTGACATGGAATGAATTTTTTGAATCAATACTTCATCTATTTTTTTTTGCTCATTTTATGCTTTGATTTTATTTATTTTCTGATGCTTTCAAAATATGCATTTAGCTTTTTAAAAGGCAAAAAAGTTTAAATCCAGTAAATTAGGTGCTTTTGTATTCTGATTATGCCTGTAGGCACTTGAGGATAAATTAAATGGTCCAATTCAGGCAATTAAGTACATTCGAACCGGATTTAGTGTAATAAATTTGACAACTTGCTCCAAGAAAAATCATGTGCTACAAATTCCATATTAGATATAGAATGACATTTTTTTTTAATTTTAATCCTACAACACAAATAGTCTTTTGTATCTTGGTGTTGCTGTCTTGAGTTAAAAGATTTAGTTGATCAATTTACCCATTTTGTGAGGATTGCAGAAAAGACAATCTATATGTGTGTGCGTGTATACATGTGTGTATATGTATATTATAAAAATATCACTGTTCATCAATCTGTACTAACTAGCTTTGTACCCATTCATGGAATGGGAATTGTTTAAAAATAATAAATTATTCAGTGTAGTTCATAAAAATATTTGCATAAAATATAAACTTATTGTATAATCTATTATAACCTTTCTTAAATATATTACTATGTGCACATTGTTATCCAAAAATAGTCTTATAATATAAATTTAAACATCTAATTCAGTGATTAATAATTCAAAAATGCAAAAAAAAAAAAAAATTCGACGATATGATAACATTCAAAAACTTGAAAATAGGCAAGATCAATCTTGGCTGATCTTCTGTAAACAAAAGAATGGCCAACCCGTTACCAAAAAATCAATTTTGGTACTTAATATAAATGGCTTAAACGTTAATGTGAAAAGAAAAGAAGCCAAATAAAATATTAATAAAAGATCAGAATTCAGAATCAATCAAGTCATAGGAACACAGCAACCTTCTAAATTTGCTCACGGCTAATAGAAGCAAAATGAAAACATAAGATGTATTTTGCTTTTAAGTCAAAAACATAAAAAATCTAAATAGTATTATGAATATTGCATAACGTGAACTGCTGTATGACAATGAACTTGATGCCTTGCTAATTATGTAATCAGTGACATTTTCTTGTTCTTTAGAAGCTTTCTACCAAAGTCTAAAAAAAACAGTGCAACTGCACAAATTTTTTTTAACCCCAGAAACCTAGAAAATAATTAAAAAAATTAGTACATTGTTGAAGACAATTAATAAATTGTCAAAGGCAATTAAAAAATCTTGTGAAAATACATAGTTTAAAAGGCCACTTTTAAATCACTAACCAAAAAGTAATATGTGTTCTATTTAAATTGAAGAGTGAATCCATAAATTGAAATAACAAATTAATTACAAAAATCTTGTCAGAAATAAAAATCAAACTGTAACTTTCGAAGACTTACTTAGAAAATTCAAATTCAATGACCTAATTATGAAGAAGGTGTAGGAAATTACAAACCATATACAGCGAGCACAAACAAAGTCCAAATGCGGTCCTTGCATTGAAGGGAATAAAAACGAAGTTCCAAATCCGGTCCTTGCATTGAAGTTAAAAAAAAATTCCAAAAAATTTGGTGAAAAAGTGTAAATATTTTCGCTACTTGATAAAGTGATGAATAATAGATCGAGAAGTAGAATGTTATAAATATATTAGAATATCTGCGGATAGCCGATAATCTGATATAAAGATAATCTAATATTTGAATTGATATTTCGAACTTTTGATGTTGAAAATGAAGAGAATTAAAAACATAATTCAAAATTATTTATACTAATCGCTGGAAAATTTAGGCGCTTGACGATTAGAGTTAAGGAAAAAAAAGGTGAAAGAATGGAAGAGATAATTATGGAAGAATTATCTAGAATTGTAAAGGCAAGAGAAAAAAGAGGAATGGAATAGCGTAGGTTATTACGGGTTAACTCATAAAGCGCGTTACACCTATTTGCCCTGTCGTTAATCCACGTAGGAAAGAAACAAAATAAAAGGATAAGAATGAGGATACGGACTTTATTATATATATATATATATATATATGATGATAAAAATTACATCAACCATATGCATATATAAAAAAGATCTGAAGAACGAAACTAGATGCCATATATATAAAAAGTCAAGAAAATATTACACTGTTAATAAACTGAGTCAAGTCCAAATGCTAATGTGAGATCTAACGAAATTTATCTAAGGAATCTCAATTTGAAAATCAAATCTCAGAAAGTTTAGATCAGTAAGAGAGATATAAAACTAAGAAAACTCTCATTAGGAGTGACTAGGAAAGGAAAAAAAAAAACTGTCACTAAAAATCCTTAAGAGAGAAGAAAATTTCACTAGAAAACTCTCTGTTTTGCATTTTTTTTTTTTATAAACACAAAAAATACAAAAGGAAAAAAGACATGGAAGGGAGGGACATCTCTCCCCCTCAAGGGAAGAATATGTTTTGTCTGCGACGGTAGAGAGAAGGAGAAGAGTTAAGGTGGAACCCATATAATTTCTCAGCTTCTTGCTTTCACAGCAATTTTGTGGAAAAATTGGTGCTTCTCAAGATGAATTCAGGAGTTGTTTCAGTTATTAATTGTCGATTATGGAGATGATTTAGAGCTTTCATTTGATACTGTAGTATTTCGACCTTGCACCTTGCTTTTATCAGTATCCGATTCCCGGGATTTCACCAAGAACGCAAAAGGACGAGTTTCTACTTTCGAATTAATGCTTCATCTTTGTAGTTGCTTTCTCATTAGAAAAGTTAGATAGGGTACTGTTAAAGCTTAAACGTCTCATCATGTCCAGGTTTTGCTCGTCAAAGATGAAAGAAAAAGAAAATTAGCATCCCGGAATTGACTAAACCAAAGCTAAAACCCAATTTAACTAGTTAACCGATCGATGGACGCCCTCCTAACAAAAATATATATATACATTTTGCACAAAAAAAATATTAGAAATACCCTTAAAAATAAGAGTTTGGCCTATGAGTGCCCTAGAGCGCGCACTCACTAGGATAGGTTCAAGTGTTAATTTCTTTGAATAAGAGTGAAATTAATTCGAGAAAATATCTGAATATAGGGACAATAAATGTAAATGTATGCTGTCATACAGTAAATTAAGTGTAATTTAAGCGCCTTAACGAAAACTCTAGAGGCATTCATGAGAAAAATCTCGATAATAAATAGTCCAAAACTGCAAGAAATTTCCCAAATGAAAAGCTAGTTCTACTTTCTGAATGACAATTATAAAGTAAAAACTAAACATGTATGTTCAAATGGCAACTATGAGTTCTCGTGGCTCTGCTTCAGATCCAGATGGGTGCGTGGTGCACTCGTCTGGTTCGGTGGTGGTTTTGTCCCCATCGATCCCTCCGTGAGCTCAGTTGGGCCTCCCCCTAGTTAGAGTAAGAGTAGTAGTAGGGATGACAATTGACAAAAATATATATATATATATATATCGTTTTGGACTATTGTGGAAGCCAATTACAAATATAGGTCCAAAAACATCATTGAGCAAAAGATAGCCAGGAAAATACAAAAACTACAACACTAAGTGGAATGGTCTCTCAACTTGGAAGGTGTCCCCAAGCTATTATCTGTTCATTGCTGGCTTGTCCTCCTCAGAAAAATTACCTGCAAGATTATTCGTAGGAAGATACATATATACACTTAGCAGATAAAACGTACAATTATTTCATTATCATGGCATTTTTTTTTTCATGTGCTTTGCTTTGAAGCCATCAAGGAGGGAATCGAGGTAAGTTTGCTTATTCTATGTATTTTATCTTTTATTGTTACTGATTCTTTGATTCCAGTTAGTAAGAGAGATCTTGAACTAAAAGCAATACTTACAATAGAAATTCACAAGAGGTCTTTGCCCTTTCTTGATGAGCTCAAACTTGTAGGTGTCTCCTTCTTTAAAAGGCCATTTGAGGTGCGAAATTTGCTCCATCCACTTGAGATCAGAACATGCTTTCCCTTCTGCTGCAGTCTCACTGACCATTGCCTTTCTCTTTCATCTCTAAGGATCATTTCTTCATTTAGCTTAATTAAGCCGGTCGATCTTGCAAACTTCATTGGCAGATGCTGCATCACAATCAATTTCAGACTTGGGAAAGCAAAAGTTGATTTCATAATTAGCCAAATCAGATTCCACAAATTATGTACTTTTCCATCTTTTTTTCAGTTCTCAATGCACCATACAATTTAATCAGTTTTTTTTTTTAATGTGCATGACAATGAAAAATCTTCATTCAGATTACCATCTCTCATCATATCCTGTTTATCTACCTGAAGATTTAACTAACAGTATTTTGCTTAAGGGTCTATATAATTGATAATTTTACTCCACCAGAATTTGTTAAGAATTTGTTCTTAAGGCATAATGCAATTAATAAGTAGAGTCAACTATTTCATTTGTTCATCTAAATTGGGACCAGATGTACCCCTAGAACAACTGTTAATTGGTCATATGGTAACCTAAAGTCAACCATGGCGTAGTTGCTTTTATATTTTGGAGGCCCATTTCAAAAGCAAAGTTAAATTAGGTGGAAATTCAGATGCCAAAAGCAAAAGTTGGAACAGTAGAAAAATATACAAGAGCTCAACTGTGCTATGCCAAAAGGCACATCATTAGTCTTCTTTTTTTTTTTTTTCAGAAATGATAACTGTTATATAACCTAATTTAACATACATTAGGGGAGGAGTTGGACCTAAACAGGTTCAAGGGTAATGCAGAGGGAACTAAATTATCACCGGACCACACAGGTGCACTAAGCATCTATCTGGATTTTTTAAGCAAAGCCACTTTTTTAATATGGCAATTGGAGTTTTAATACTTTGGTGGTGGTCACTAGCCAAAGGCGGGTGGTTTTCAAAAGGCATATGATTAGTCGATGTATATATTTCATGTGTACAATATCATTACTTTGGAATTCCAAATTAACTCAGGAAAAAACAGCCATAGCATGCGCAAATTGACATTGGAAAAATATCAGGAAGTTCAGAAGCTTACCAGTATTGAATATTTGATGCTATAAGCCTTAATAGTGGACACAAAAGAATTAGGATGATCATTATTAGACTCAGGTCAAACCTCAAGTTTCTTGTCTAGGCATTTGCCCTTCGGCTTCACAGTCGAGAATGGCCGAGGTTGAGGAGGAGTTGGACGCTGAAGATGAGGCTCTTTATTACTACTTGTCAAGCAAGGAACAAAGTCAAGAACAGGTATTTTTCCATTTTCCACAAGCTCAATCTTGAAAGTGTCTCCTAGCTTCAGGCCATTAGCTTTAAAGAATGCACTCCATCCACGCTTAAAGCAAACATGGCTGGCCTTTGGAACCATTTCAACTTGCCATGACTTTTGCTGTGGATCTCTGAGAATAACTTCGCAGCTTCTGTTTCTTAAGTTATTGGCTCTAGCAAATCCCAGTGGAATATGCTGCATGGAAGATGAAACAAATTGATTGCCAAATTTGAGACGTTTTAAGAATAAAATGTTAATTTAGGTGACTTGGCCGCGTCACTATATATATATGTGGAATGTTCATGGAATTTTGTCAATTTTAACAATTAGAGGTAATAGAGTTTCTTTTGTGAATTTAACAATTAAAGGCAATGATATAGAATGCTAATGAAGTGCATAAGTTCAAGGTAGGAGGTTCTGGGTTCAAATTTACGTCTTCCCTTCCCACTTCTCATAAATTCCACTCCTCTTTGGTTGGGAAAAAAAAAAGTGTGTAAATTCACGGCATTAACATTTTTTAACAATTGGATCGAATTGATACAAAAACTTTGTTTGCAAAGTCTCCAAAAAAATTTTCCAAGTTGAAAGTAGAAAACATATGCACACTGAACTGGCTAATGCCCAAAGCAGTAAGGAAAAAAGATCGGTGTCAAAAATAGTACTCCATACCAGGATAGAGTTTTTAATAGAGTAAGGCTTGATAGATGAAACAAAATAGGGTTTCTTTGGTTCTTCATCATCATGTGAAGAGGCCTTTCTTGAAGTTGGAGTCGACTCTTCATTTTCCTCTGAATTTCCTTCACTATCAATGGAAATGCCACTTTTAGCAGTCAAACGAGTCCTCGCCTTGTTCCTCCTTAAACCTATTGTCTCACCTGTATCAATTATTATTAACCAAGCGGAAGCATCATTTAAAGAGGACATTTATACGAGGAAAAACTTGACTGATTAATTTGTTGACAATAAATCTTGACATTTATATATATATATATATATAACCTGCAGACTTGAATTTCTTGGAGGATGGTATATGTTCTTCTTCTTTTGGTTCATCACTTGTAACATCATGAATCCATGGATATTCCCTCTCACAATGACTAGGGTCAAAGACCCTAACATCAAACACCATATTTCCTTCATGTTTAAATGCTACAAAATCCCCCACTTCCAAGTTGTTTTCTACTGCAAACTTTCTCCAGCCTTCTTCAAGAGATTGCCCACTCATCTTCACCCTCCATTCCCTTACACCCCTTCTGAGCAACACGTAATTTGACCTTTCTCCACACAAATATTTGGAGAAAGATACAGGTATTTTCTGCACAAAAAGATCGACCAGGAATTGAAAAAAAAAAAAAAAAAACCCTTAAAACCATGAAAGAGCTGAACGCTCAAGTCTTCATCATTTTCTTTGACACAAATGGTCTGTCGTATATGATATATTTTGACATGAAGAGGCGAGAGACTAGGAGATAGACTTACCAATCCATTTTTGAATCCTGGAAGAATGGGTTTGAAGAAATGAGGTTTCTCTGGTGAAACTCTCATGACTAGTCAGAGACTCAGATTTGATTATGTTTAGCACTGCAAAAGAAAGGCATACACTAGTAGTAGTATATAAAGAGCAACTCTTTGGTTATTTGTGTACAGCCATTAATTAGCCCTTAGGGTATTGTGCATGTATATTAATAGCAGACTTGCTATGTCCATTCCTATTCCTCTAATCCTCTTTCCTTCAGTAGTTTTTTGTTTTTTAAATTGGTTAGTTATAAGTAATTTGACTATTAAGTTTCCATAATTTATTTCAGTTTTATAATCAAATTTTGTTAGGATTTTTTTTTTTTTTTTTGGTTTTTTGCCAACGGAAACAGTTCTTAAGATTGCTCATTGTTTACCAATTTTTGCAAAGTTTAAATGTCCCTCTAAAAAATAAAAGCTAAAAAGTTTTAAAAACATGAAAAGTATATATATAATTCAATTATTGATTTTGTTTCAACAGCTTGATCGTGAAGTAACTTTTTAATTACCTACTATTTAACGCTTGATCGTGAAGTAAGACACAATGCTTTTATCCTTCTCCATCTAATACTCTAAGACAAGTACATCCTTTTGATTTTTCCACATTCTATAGTTCCTCAAATTTTTATCTTACTTTAGTAAAATTATTTGCATTGATACTGAAATTTTTAGACAAACCCTGCTCTAGACAACAAGTAAGAAGCTATTCACTTATCATTGTAATATGCACTCAAATATATCAAATTTTTACGTTATGGTAGTAAAATAAATTATTTTCTAATGTTCTTCAAATTTTTACGTTACTTTAGTAAAATCAATTGCATTGACACTGAAATTTTTAAGCAAAACTCACTCCAAATAATAGATAATAAATTATTCACTTATCACTGTGACGTGCACTCAAATATATTAAATTTTTACGTTGTGTTAGTAAAAATAAATTATTTGTACTGGTAGTAGCTTTAGTTTTCTCTTTCTTCTTGGTTTGCAACACCCTTTACTAACATATCTTTTCTTACGCTGATGCCTATGGCGGTACTGTTGATTGCCATAGTATCAATTTCGTCCCCCATCTTTGTTATTATTATGCTCCAGGACATGGGCATTTTGGTCTTTTTGCTGCCAGCTTGGCTGGGCTTGGTGATCTTTTCGCGGTCTCAAGCATGAGCTTGAACTGAAACATTTGAGGTGGCACGCACACGTGTCGGATTTTTGTAGCTCCAACATTCAAACGTTAGTGGAGTCCAGCTTCTGTATCGACCATTCGCCTCGTCAGTTCAAACTAAAACGCACTTTTGGACTGCTTCCCATTACGGTTGGTGGCTGAACAATTTGAAGGGAATCCATTGCTGAACAATTTGGATGGAGGGAATCCATTGCAGTCATACTAGAATAAGCCAGCCCGAGAACAATCAATCACTGGTTGTTGTAATTTAAAGTTATATAAAATAATTATATAGGTGAGTACATTGTGGACCTATATTAATAAACTACTATGAATTAACCAAAATTAAGTAACAGGTCACCGTTATTGTGGGAAGAGAAGTAGCTCAAGCATTAATCTACACTTTTAGGAACCTAAGATTATTATTTGACTTTAGCTGTCTATGCAATTGATGTTCGTACACCATTGAAATAAATGCCTCAAGCAACCAAATTTATGCACATTTTTTGATAGAAAATTTCTTTTGTTTTTTTGTCACTAATATAAGCTAAAATTACATCTTTGAATTTTTTTTGGTTCCGATTATTTCTTCAAAGAATGATGATGTTTTTCAATTTAGTATAAGATCTTTCAAAATTCTACTATCTAATATGAGATCGATGCAATTTTGCCTAATAAATAGGGGTGCAAATGAGTCGAGTCGAATCGAATCACAATTTAGTTTTATGAATCTTGAACTCGAACTCTCAAAATAAAGTTCAAGTTCAAGCTCGACTCAAATTCGAGTAGAACTTGAGCTTCAAAAAATAAAATAATAATAATTTTATTTATAAAGAATGAATAAAATAATAGTTTTTCTTAACGAATAATAAAATATTAGGGATATATATGTAATTTTACTATTAAAATAAAAGATAATATATATATATATATATATATATATATATATATATATATGATCGAGTCATCTCACGAATTAACAAATTGAGTACTTTTTGAACTCAATTTTGAGATAAAAAACGTAAATTGAGATAAAATTATAGGCAAACGAAAGATGACAAGTTTTGGACACTAAGAGTGTGTTTGATAAAATTAAAATATGAAACTTAAAATTCAAAATGATGTGAATTGAAAAAAAAAAGCGTTAAACCATCAAGCATCCTCTTGCTTTGTTAAGCTTAAATCTTCTTCTTTTTTTTTTAATTTTCAATTTTGTTCCTTTTGGCATAAAAACCTAAATCCCTTTATCAATGCCTAATCGAGGATTGCGAAATTAAGAAAAAAAGGATTAATTTTTTATATGTTAATGATTGTTTTACTCTAACAGTTTTGATTGTATATCACATATGTATGATTTGAATTTCAAATTTGCATTCATATCGGGTGACATAATCTAAACCTGTTAGTGTAAAACAAAACTATATATTGACAGTGTATAAAAAGTTATAAAAAAAAGGATGATATTCACATACTCTTTTTAATATTTTACAAACCCTTTTCCTTTTTATTTAATTAGCACAAAGTTTTTTTTTTAATGAAAATTGTGTGTAGAAGCATTCCAAATAGGAAAGGTGAAATATTCAACGTCCACGTTGGGCCATTCCTATTGGATCTCATCAAAGTGATATATTTCACTAGTATAGCACCTGATCTTTACCGATTTGTTTCTCCATTGACCACGTCGTTATCTACAGCCAGAGCCCCAGAATCAACGAGTCCTCATGCTCTAGCGCGTACACAAAATAATCCACTCGCTCTATTCAGCGAACACGTGTCCAACATTCTTCGCAGACGATCTCGTGTCGGCCAAAACGAGCGCGTGTACAATCCTCTATACTCGTGCAGATATTTCCCGCTATCCTTTATGGCGGGTCATTTCTTTTCCTCTTTTTGAAAACTTCCGTGGCATTTTTAGTAAATATCATTGGTTCCAAGGGCAATGTGAAGACCCAAAAATGGAAAAATGGAATTTAGCCTTTCTCGCAAATTTAGATCTGAATTACATAGTCGGTTAAACATGGAAAAAGTAGGAAACCTGCTTAAATCTCAACCGTCCATCTTTAGCATCTCTCAGTCTTAGCCGTTGAACTCTCAGGCCGATTACTCGATCTTTACTCTTTTCTGTTAAGACTCCAACAACCCAGAAGAGATCTTGACCGTACGATATTTAATCTAACGGATAGAATCCTCCACGTGGTCATAAATTCCAGGTAATTTTCATTTTTGCCGGTTAAAATAATAAAAAACCCTAAACTCTCGTGACCCCAGACAAACCCTACCCAGCCCTTTCTCTCTCCCTTTTCTCTCTCTAGGAAAATAAGAAAAAAGCGGAAATTCAAAAAAAAAATTTATATCCAAAAAATCGTTTGAATAAATCGTTCAAAATCAATTTAGGGTTTCAAATCAAATTCCATTATCTTCCAAAATTCTCCTATTCGAACCGTACAAAAGCTTCTTCCGCATCCTATTCGCGATCTCATCTCTCCACTCGCCGTTTTTTCGATAGAATCGAGGTCAGGTACGGTACGTTTCCTTTGTTAATGGTTTTTCGGGGTTTTTAAAACATAGTATGATCGGTTAATTTTGAGAATGATTTGATGTTTGGATTATGTTTTGATTGTACTTTGATTGATTGGATGAATTAGTGCATTTTTCGTATTTTGGGGAATTTTTTTTGTTGTTGAAATGCTGGTTCTTTCTGGTCTTTTTAATGTGGCAGATCTGGAAAACTGAGAGTGAATATGAGGGATGTGAAAATTGAGGGTTTTGTATTTAAGAGTTCGGATTGAGGGGTTGTTGATGGAAAATAGCATAGGAAAGATTTCTGCTGCTGCTGGTGTTGAGATTTCCAGGAAAACCAAATCTTTGGATCTCCAGAGTATATATAAATCTAGGGTCTCGAATGACGGGCACTCTAAAAAAGGCAAATATCCGGTACAGAATGGTGGTGAGGATAGGGATGATAACAAGAAGGAGAAGAAGAAGAGGAAAAAGATTGTAAAAGAGGTTGCTTTGGATAGCCTTGAGCCTGTGGTGAAAAAGAGTAGGAAGAGTATAGGTGAGGGGCGTGGGAATGATGCGCGATCAGGTTCTGTTTCGGTTGATTCTAGTCGTTCATTATCTGGTTTCAGTCACAAGAATGGATTGAATGGCTCTCTCTTAGTTTGGGTGGCTCTGGTAATGTAATTCATATTCCAAAGCGTCCAAGGGGTTCTGTTGGCCGGAAGAAGTTTGAAACTAATGGGCCAGCTAACATGTCAGGGCCAAGTGGTTCTGTTGATAGGATTGGTAACTCAAATGGGGAGACCAGGAAAGTTGAGTCATCAGGGTCATCCAGTGGTAAGGCAGGTTCTGCTGATAAGGTTGCTAAGTTACCAAGTCGTTCTGGTGGTTCCAAGGTAAAACGGAAGAGGAATGTTGATGAAGTGAAGGATAGTAGGAATGGTATATCCACTTCATCTCACCTTGTGAAAGATGAAGGTGGTCATGTTGTAAATAATGGTGATAAATCTTCCAAAAAACGTCGGAGCAATCATAGGAAGAGGAAGGAATTGCGATCAGGTGTTGAGACTGCTCAGAAGAAGGTTGAGCCTTCAGTGGATAATTCAAGCAGTGTTTTTGATGACTTCCAAGATGATGATGATGATGAGGAGAAACTTGAACAGAATGCTGCAAGGATGCTTTCCTCTAGATTTGATCCAAGGTGCACAGGTTTTACTTCTAGAATTAGATCTTCCAGCAGTCCACCAGACAATACCGTCTCTTTTTCCCATTCTTCTCGTCGAGATTTTGTTAGCAGAAGGGCAGACTCGTCGGCTAACCTGAAAACCAAAGATGCTAGCAGAGTGCTGAGACCCAGAAAAGA